GAAATCTCACTGGTCATCTTTTTAGGTTGCTATGGCATCAGTTCATTATTCTAAAAACGTTTAAGTAAAAAGAAAAAGATCAAGCATTATTCTCCCTTTCCTGTTTAAACAATATTTCAGAGTATCCAAACAATTTATGAAAGCCTCCCTTTTTTAATGGAAGAATTACAGCTTATAAACACATAATGAGTGTAGAATTTAAAAACCACCACTTTTTAGGACCTAATGAAATACAGGCAATAGACATTAGTGGCAGTTCAAACCATTAGGAGAAAGCTGGTGGGAAAGAGATGGAAAACCAGGCTGAAATATACAACTGTACTGCTGAATTTTGACATCAGTAGAAGTGAGACATCACGTGTCCCTAATGTGATGTGACAGATGCTAGAGTCCCGCTAAAGGTATTCCCACCAGGGAAGAAGGAATAGGGACAATGAGAGAATGAGGAAGGAAACTAAGGTTATAGGTTAGAGAAAATGAAGATTAGAGGAACATGATAAGAGAATCAATCTGCCACATTCAGATTCTAGAAAATTTTAGAGAATAAATACTTGGAGTTTTCAAGTATTTTTTCAAGTGTTATTCTGACATAGAATAATAAAATTGAGAAGAAGAAATATTATAGACTAAAAACAGTAAACAATTAAATGCAACATATGGACCTTATTTTGACCCTTATTTGAACACATAATTTGCAAAATAATATGCTCAATAATTTATATTATATAATATATATGTCATTGAGATAGTCTCACAAAGTTTTGATACTATCTCTGAGAAATACAAACAGGTACTGAATTTTGCTAAGTATAATTTTATCTGAGACATGTGTTTATGCATATTTATTTATTTTTATTGGGTATAATTGACATCCACATTATGTTAGTGTCAAGTGTACAGCATAATGATTTGATAATTGTTTATATTATAAAATGATTACCACAATTAGTCTGGTTAACATCCACTTTGAGCCTAAGTTTAAAAAATGTCTCTGTGTTAGCAATACGCTCTGAAGTCTTTATATGCGGGATGATACGGTATCTGGGGATTTGCTCTTTAAAAGGTTTTCAGTAGCTGAGTGTTGATATTTGTTGAAGCTGAATTGACGAGTACATTTGGATTCATTAGACTGTTCTATTTTGGTGTCTGTTTCAAATTTTCCATAATAAAATGTTGAATTAACATAAAAGAAATTAACATAAAATGTAATGAGTGAATTCTTCATTCTCCAATTTGTTTTGTGGGAAAAATAGCAAGAGACAAAATCATCTAAACCCTCATTCACTTGGGGTGGAATTCATAGACAGTAAGGAGCAAAGAACTCAGAAATGGAGGAAGCCCTTTCAGTCTTCATCTGGCTTTGTTGGATACTCCTGGAGGCCAGATGAGAAAGGGAGATGTGCGTGGAGAGAGAGAGAGAGAGAGAGAGAGAGAGAGAGTGTGTGTATGCATGCATGTGCCCTCACACATGCATATGTGGCTATGTGGCTGTGTGTATATATGTATGTGGCTGTGTGTACATGTATGTGCACATGTGCATACATACTGGTCGTGTGTGTGTATGCATGTGCCTGCACACATGCATGTGTGACTATGTGGCTGTGTGTATAAACATATGTGGCTGTGTGTGTACATGTATGTGCATGTGTGCATACATACTGGTCGCGTGTGTGTATGTATGTGCCCGCACACATGCATGTGTGGCTATGTGGCTGGTTGTATATACATATGTGGCTGTGGGCGCATACATATGTGCATGTGTGCATATATATTGGTTGTGTATGTGTATGCATGTGCCCGCACACATGCATGTTTGGCTATGTGACTTTATGTAGATACGTGTATAGCTGTGGGTGTATACGTATGTGCATGTGTGCACACATATTGGTCGTGTGTGTGTGTGTCTGCATATGTGTGTATACAGGTGTAGTTTCTGCTCTCTACAGCCTATTTTTCTTCTTTGAAAGAATGGCTATGGTTTAGCAAAAGCAGCCACATGACATTTCTATACCCTGCCATTCATAGTTGAGATTCACTCCCTGCCCTGCCGCCTCCCCGCCGACCACCCCCCCCCCCTTGTCCCCGTTCTTTCCCTGATTCTCTGGATGGTGGCAAGAGTGTCAAAGCTGGGACAGCGAGAGCTGCCATGTCTGAAATATTTCTAGAAGGCTCTCGGTGGAGCTGCTCATCTTTTGAGGGGCGTTGTAGGAAGAAACGGGGAAACTCAGCATGGGTTGGGGAGGAGGAGCTAGGGGGCTCATATTTCTGCATGAAATTAGAAAAAGGGAGTGGAGATGTGAAAGCAAAAATATCCTAAAAAATTAGGATATTTTCCCAAAACTATTTCTGAAAAAGAGACAGAGGCCAATTTCAAACCCACCCTCATCCTGACTCCTGCATTCTCTGGGTGGAGCAGCTGTGGCCGTGGCCCACCACACCACAGCTGGACCAAGCAAGTCACCACAGGCCCCATCCCTCCACACCAGAACTGTACATACCCGTGTGTGATAGAGCCCTACACTATTCCGGAAGCCCCTACCGGCCCTTCTTCTGGGTCAGGTCCCCACCCTACCCCTGAGGGCTCTGGGCCTCTCTCAGTGCCAAGGCACGGAGGGTCCCTTATTCTCCCAGCCCAGGTTTCTCCAGGGTCACTGCTCGTGCCCCCACAGACCTGCTTCTTCGTGGGGTTCTCTTTAGGTTCTACCCACCAGTGGCTGGGACCTGGATGCCCTTTCCCCACTACCTTACCCATTCCTGTTCATCCCACCTCCCATGGGGCACTCAGGGTCCATCCCCAATGCCTACTGCTGAGTCCAACTTGGGTACCCATGATGAGTTCCTGCACACACTCTCCTCTCAGATCAGTATCACAGACACCTCTGTTTCTCTCTTTCTCTCTCTGTCTCCTCCCTCTCTTTTCCTTCCCTACATCCTCTTTCCTTCTCTCTTCCTTCTCCCTCTTGCATATTCCCCTCTTTCTCATTCTCTCCCCAATCCCTTTGCCTCTGTCTCAGTTTCTCTCTGTGTCTGTCTGTCTGCCTGTCTCATTTTCTCCATGTCCTTTCTAGCCTTTCCAGGTTGTTTCCCTTTCCTCTGCCTTTACGCCTAATCCCCTCTTTTTATTCTCTGGGCAACCTCCTCCCTCCTGTCATTTCAAATAGGACTGATGTGCCCCGAACACCCAGAGCATCTATCTCTGGTTCATCTCCACCCCTGAGCTGCCTGTTAGAGGAAGGGGTGTCTGAAGCTCAGATTCACCTTACTTCCATCAGCATCAGAAAATGCCACTTTTTCCTTTCCCATCCCTCCCCTCAGAGGCAGCATTCACATCTCCCAATATCAGAAACAGGCTCAGCCCTGGCCCCTACCCTTCCCCTCATCCCTCCCTCCATACTCTCTGCCAGTCCTGGCTCCAGTGCTCCTTGCATTCGTCTATTCGTCTCACACTGTCCAACCATACTCCAACCTATCTCACTGCTCCTACCTCTCAGTCTGCACAGCTCAAATTATTTTCCATGTGGCAATAACCATGGTCATGGACATCTTCTTGGTAAAAGAAGTCTGATAACCTCAGCCCCGAAATCCCTTCAGAGGAGTTGGGTGAAGGACACTTTAAACACATGAATATACACATACGCATAATATCTACAGAGGGACACACACATATGTTCATATATACACACACATATATATTAATTCTAGGAATTGAGCTACCATATGACCCAGCAATAAAGTTTCTTGGCACCAACCCCCAAGGGTCCTAAATCTCTATTCAGAAAAGACTGTAGCACTGTTCACCAAAGCCAAAATCTGGAAACAGTGAAGCTGTCCAAGAACAGATGACTGAATAAAGAAACTATGGCATATATACACAATGTAATGCTACTCAGCTATTAGAAAAGATGAAATCATGCACACCCACCAACTGGCCCCCTGGCACCGTGTAATCCCATCAGCGGCCAAGACTCAGAGACTATAAAAACCAGCTCCCAGAACCAGAACATCCTATTATGACATCTTATTATCTCATTCCTACTTTGGACAAACTGGCAGGCTACCGAATGTAGCCTGCCCACACGGCAGAGTCTAGCAAACTCCCCGTGGCGTACCCAATATGCCAAATACCAGTAACAATGATGGGTCTCATTCTCCTAAAGAGCCTTGAATATAATCTCAGGGCTAGGATGAAGGAGACGTTACTGGGGCCTGCTCGAGGCAATTGACGATTAACAGGATGATTTGTGATTTGTGATTTGAAATCATGCAAACCATTTGCTGCTACATGAATGGATCTGGAGAGTATCATGTTGAGTGAAGTTAGTCAGAGAGGGATATATACTGACTGATCTCTCTCAATATGTGGGTTATGAATAGTCATAATAGGGGAATAGCAGATGCCCAAAGGCAACTGAAGCTGAGAACTGGACATCATTCAGAAGCTTATCATAGGGGAGGAAAGGGGGTGGGTGGTTTGGATGGAGGGGCACGCTGGGACAATGATGGAGAGAAGTGAACACTCTAGAGGGGGTAGGGAGGGGAGTAGTGCTGGATTATTTTATCCATAAATCCCTATGATTGATAGTATTGCAAATCAAAGTACATAAAATAACACTTACGAATTTTTAAATAGGGGGGTGGACATTGGGCCTGCATTCCAACGCTCTCAGAATCTGGTCATGTAAAGATCAGAGAGTCGTTGCTTCTCACCTGCTCCTCAGGCAGGCTGGGCTGTGGGACAGAAACCCATGAACCCCCTCTCCTGCAGGGACCCATGTGGTCATATAGGATTGTCATCACTCTCGCCTCGTAACTTGGCACATGCTGCCACTCAGATATCTGTCATCAGGTCACTTCTAAGGAGCATGAAAATTCTTCAAACAGGAGGGTGAATGGTCACCACCAGCTGAAAGATGCTTTAAATACTCATGAAGGATGACCAGACAGCTCTGCTCACAAATGGGACCCCCACCCCCACAAAGGGAGGACACGGGCACACAAACCTTGATGCCAAGTTCGATATTTTCTCCTCCATACACATCCATCCCGGGGTCCAGGAGACCAATTTCACCAAAGAACTTTCTGTTGACCACGAAGGAGCAGCCAATCATGGCAGGTGTTCTGTGGGAGAGAGAAAGAAGCCAGGTTACATAGTCTGTATCCACAGTGGAAGGTTCTATAGCAATAAGACCAAGGCAGACTCTCTCTGATCTCACAGTCTGTGGAACCTACAAAAGCTGAACCTGTTACAGGCAGAGAAGATAATGGTGATCCTTGGAGGCTGGGCAGCTGGAGAAGAGGGGAGATATTGTTCAAAGACTGCAACCTTGCTACCAGATAAAGGAGGTGCCCTAGAGATAAAATGTGTGCACTGTGATGAGTCAGTGAAGCTGTATCTGGCCTTCAGAGATGCTAGAAGATGTGAAGTAGAGAAGTCTGAGTTGACATAGTGGCAGTAGTCATACAGCATTGCCTAAGCACATCAATTTGACCTTGCACACATAAACGTGTCATCGTTGCCACACTAAGAGTGAACTACAGCTCAACTAAAGAAGTCATCGAAATGTCAATAGTGGCAACCACCCATGGGCCGTCATAGCAGGGACCAAGCCCCACTCTGGCAAATGGAGAGACATCCCTCATGGCCAAAATTCCTACACCCTCCCTCTCCTCAACATGCTGACAATGGTGCATACCACCAGGGGCTCACACTTGGAAGTGGCTTAGCTGAGACAAATTGCAGGACTGACATCAAGGTGTTAAAGCTGGTTTCAACTTCTCACAGGTATTAGGGACTTCCAGGGTTAGCCCAGATCCTTGGTAGGTGGACAAGTGCCCTCGTGGGGTGGCTGAAAATACAGGATGTGGTTCTCACTAACCTGTGGGGATAAGAATCCAGACACACTCAAGGAAAATGGGCCAAGAGGACGGATCAATGGTGGGTCAATGGTGTGGGAAATGGAGGGTAGTTAAGATAGAGGAGGTTACATTATGACAATAATAGTTGGAAATGATCACTCTGGACAAGAACTGAGTGTCAAAAGCAGGTGAAGGGATATACATGATAACCTTTCAGCACTTGTATTGCAGACCATAATGCCTAAAGTGTGTGTGTGCGTGTGTGTGTGTGTGTGTGTGTGTGTGTGAGAGAGAGAGAGAGAGAGAGAGAGGTGCCTGCCATAGAGGTAGATAGAGGTAGGCTGGGGTGAAGTGTGGCTTGAAGGGGTGGGAGGGCAACAGGGGACACTGGTGCTGGGAAATTACACTGGTGAAGGGAGGAATGTTGGAACATTGTATGACTGAAACACAATAATGAACACTTTTGTAATGCTCTATCTCATGGTGATGCAATTAGAAAAAGAAAAGAATAAAGAATCCAGGCATAGTCTCAGAGACCTTGGGGAGTGGAGAACAGAGGTGTCGACTGCCTCACATGGAAGAAGGACTTTCCAAAGAGAAACAATGGGAGTGGGCAGGAGGGGTCCAATCTCCATAGGTGAAATGTGAATCAGGGTCCTATAGTTTTGAGGGACCCTCTGGTGCCCACCTGGTTGCTCAAAAAATGAACGGCAGAGAACATGCCTCAGATGACAGAGAAGGAGATCTGGCTGGAGCCATGAAAAGCATTTATAGTGTGGCTGGCCAGGGGTCTTGAAGACCAGTAGACAAACTCGTTACTTCGTTTTGTAGCTATGTATCCCCTAGACCCTCATATGGGGTTTTAAAGGTGAGAGCTGTGTCACTGAGAACCAGACACAATCCTTGGAGGCCGTGTAAGTGGAAGCAGGCTCAATGGACATGCTGCCTTCCAGCACCTTGTGTATCACATGCTTTAGGGAGCACAAATCACCAGGAGGACCCTTTGTGGGCTCTGGCTTGTTTTCCAGGGCAAGGGTGCGGGGGCTAAGCCCTTGATAATGTCCCGTGGCCTCTCTTTAGACTTTAGAACAAACAAAGGTGTTTACAGCTATTTTCTCAGCCCCTGCCCCATCCCAGGGCTGCACTAATGCTACAGTGGTAGAGAAATGCATGGCGCACCTCCAAGTCCAAGCACTTGAGGAGCTAATGATGATGATGATGATGATGACAAAAGCCATTGACTGAGCAATTACTATGTCTCAAGTATGAGTGCAAAGCACTTTTTAGGCTTTTGAGGACCCCCTTTCCCACTCCACCCCGTGAACTGTGGCTGTGAGAAAGACCAACTATATTGAAGAGCTGAGACCCAGGGAGATTTCAGTTGATATTCCACAACTGGCTGTTCAGGACCACCCAACTTCCAGTCCAGGGATTCCCCCTGCTGCCTCTCTGCACCCATGAGAAAGGGCCTTGGAGTGGAGCTGGCCAGAGGCCAGAAATGTCAGAGTGTCTCTTGGGCCAAAGAGAATCTTCTGTAGGAGCCTGCAGGCACCCCAGAGAAGTGCTGCTGGGTTGGCCAGAAGTGACAGTGGAATTTTCTCCAGCTTCAGTGACTCCTGGACTTGCCTCAGTGTCTAGACTTCCGTCCCAGGATGACCTCTGGGTGCCCACATGCCAGGGGGACAGCGATAACACTCTCAGGTAAACACAAAGTTATGAGCTACATGGGCTGGTTGACAGTTGACCCTGAAAACTGGCCTCAGCTTCCTTGAGTGGAAGGTTCTGAGTCCCAGCTAAAAGATACGTGATGTGCTAGTGTGCGAGGCACATGTTCTGCAAATAACATCCCTTTGTAATCCTCTCTGAGGTCACCCACACTCACTTGCCCAGAACTCCCCATTATGCCTGAGTGCCAACAGCCCCAGAGAAGTACCACTGAGGCTGCTGAATAAATAAAAAGCCCCCAAAGTGGGGCTGCCCTGGGCTGGGGAGAGCTCCGTGCTGCACCCTGAATAGGGAGAGTGGCTGGAAGGGGCTGCGAGGTGAGGTGGAGGGTAAATGAGAGATGAAGAACTGAAGGAAGAAGATCTGGTGGAGGAGGAAAAAGAAACAGGAAGCACATGACCCCTGCTGGCCAGGTTGGTGGGCGGTAGCAATTCCTTCCAGATGTATCTCCCCTGCCCTCAATGTCATCTCTCCTGCTCATGGTGTAGCTGACATGGGTTCGAGGCCCCATGAGTCCTCTCTTTTCTGGTTACAGCTCTGTATCGCTGGACCAGCTCTGTATCAGAAACCTGGGTCCCTTGTGATGAATCTGAGAGGTCCCTTCTTACCCTTTTATTAAAGTGAAACTGCCTGGCTGGCAAAGGTCCCATAAGAGAGGCACAGAAGAAGCTCTGTCTGCCTCATGGGTGGTGGCTAAAGCCAAAGGCAGGAGGAAAGAGGATAGCCTTAATGTGGCAAAGATGCAGCCGCATGCCATGGCCAGGGCAGCCTCTGGGCCAGCAACCCTGAGTGAAAAGATTCCTTGAAAAGTCAGTTGAGGATCTGCTATAATGTCCTGCGGCATGGATGTCCCCAGTTCAGGGGGTGCTCTGCCCTCAGGCCTGCAGACCCCAGGCTCTGGGAGCAGGGCCAGGCTTAGGCAGTGGCTAATGTACAGTGGGCAACGCCAGGTTGAGGACAGGTTGAATAATTGCTGGGTGAACACTGTGGGTGAGGGCAGGGGCTGTGTGCTAGAACTTTCTGCAGACTGGAGACTGGCAGTATTTCTTTCAAAGGGAGATGCAGTCCCCCAAAAGAAAGCCACCACAAACTTCAGAGAGCCAGAGTAAAGGGTCAGGCTAATGGACATGTGGACATGTCCCCATGTTCAGGAAGAGAGCCCCTGCCCAGGCCTGCAGGCCTCCCCCCACCCTGTCCACGGCACCCATTCAAGGGTACTTAAGGCTGGTGGCATCCTGGAAGATGAACCCACAGCCTCATGCTTCCAACTCCATAGTGATTAGCACCATGAGTGCAAACAATTCAATTCAAAATCATTCAAAAATGATAATCATATTAAGGGATCTGCCAAAGTCTAATAGCTCCATTTCAGAAGAGAAGAACAGAAATGAAAAAATAATCGCTTTCATTGTTGCTGTGGCGCAGAATCCACACCCCACATATAGGGCTTGGATGGAACTGAGAGGTGCCCTGGGAGAAAGGAGGGGGCACAGGCAGTCATCCTGGGACTCTCCCACAGGCTCATGGTCCCACAGGTAACAGGTGACAGGTCCACTTGCTCTAGATGCTTCCCTCCCTCAGTCCCTGCATTGACTCCAGTTTCTCCTGTCATGGCGTGACGCTGCAAGTTCTTTGGCTCCTTTCCAGCCACATGCTCAGGGATCCATGACCTGGGCCATGGGCACAACCAGGTCAAAAAACTTGGATCATGTACACACATACTCACCCATCCCTAGCCAACAGCTTCCATGGGACCTCTCTTTGAGCCAATCTGCCCTTCAAACCACACATATGTCCTTCGGAATCCAAGGATCCCTTTGGGTTGCAAAACCAAACTTACACATGTTGTGTCAGGCACAGCGCTCCACAAGAAGACCAGTGCCAATCATGTGCCCTTCTGCCTCTGTGAGCACTGCATGTGCACTTCTGACTGTGAGCACTGAGCTCTGAGCTCCCATGACCTCTGTCCTCCCAGCTGCACCCCCTGGTGCCACTACCCATGCTCCTGCGGGTATTCCTAGCTATGGTCTCATCCGACAGTGGCTCCTGCCCCATCTCTGCCCCCCCCCCCCCCCGCCGCACATGACCATGATCTGCTGGAGGTGCCTTAGCTCTGAAAGAACCACTCTGTTCTGGAAAGCCAGGCCCCATTTTGTGCCTCAGGATCACGAGTTTACCATCTAGTAAGAAAAACTTGCCAGACCCCAAGGACATGGACATGAACACCCAGACATCTGACCACAGAAAACAAGGATGATCCAAGTGAATGCAACAAGATGTGTTAACTGACCTGTTTCACTTTTGTACCTCTTGCTTGCTCATGGCTGTGAGAATGCACCTGGCAGGGGGCACCCAACACGAAGGCATGTGCACCCAGGCATGTAGGCAGGAGGACACGGGGCTTAAAAGATGGAGGGCAGTCAGAGTCCCAAGTCTCTTAGGCTCGTGGACCTTCAGTGCTGAGTGTTAGTGCTCAGGGTTCAAGTCTCTTAGGCTTGTGAACCTTCAACTGAGTCCCTTGTATGAGTGTATTCTGG